CCCACCCACAGTGCATGAGGGTGCCCTTTTCTCCACATCCTGTCCAGCATTTGTTTTACAGGTGTTTTACGTCATTGGGTAAATGTATTCCCAGGTATCTTTTTTTAGTTGCTGTTACAATAGTAAATGGAATTGGTTTCTTAGTTTCTGTCTCTGATAGCTCATTATTGATGTATAACAATTCCATTAATTTCTGGGTATTAATGTCAATATCATGCTACTTTGCAGAGTTCTTTCATTAGATCTGGTGGTTTTTGGTGGAGTCTGTAGGCTTTCTGTGCACAGTTTCATGTCATCTGTGAACAGTGACAGATTTCCTTTCTCCTTTCCATTGTGGATGCTTTTTATTTCTTCTCCTTGCCTGATGGTTGTGGCCAACACTTCCACAACTGTGTTGAATAAGTGTGTCCAACCACTGTTTTTAAACATCACCTTTTTTTTTAAATTTTATTTTAATCATTGTTCAAGTACAGTTTTCTCCCTTTTACTCCCATCCCAGCCCACCCATCCACCCCTCCCCACTTCCCTCCCATTATCACCCCCCCTACCCCTAGTTTTTGTCCATGTATCCTTTAAATTTGTTCCTGTAAACCCTTCCCATTCTCCCCTGAAATTCCCTCTTCTCTCCCCTCCAGTCACCATCAGCCTGTCCTCTATTTCAGTGTCTTTGGTTATATTTGGCTTGTTTCTTTGTTTTGTTGTTTAGGTTCCTGTTAAAGGTGAGATCATATGGGATTTGTCTCTCTCTGCCTGACTTATTGCACTTAGCATAATGCTCTCCAGCTCCACCCATGCTGTTGCAAAGGGTAGGAACCCCTTCTTTCTCTCTGCTGCATAGTATTCCGTTGTGTAAATGTCCCACAGTTTTTGATCCACTCATTGACTGATGGGCACCTAGGTTGCTTCCAGCACTTGGCTATTGTAAGTTGTGCTACTATGAACATTGGGGTGCATAGGTTCTTTTGGATTGGTGTTTTAGTTAAACATCACCTTTTGGTTCCCTCTTCTTTCACCCTTTAACACAGGAGTAATCCCTTCCACTTTCCTTTTTCCTTCTACATTTTCCTTCTTGGACACTCTTCAGTTGGGTTGTTATAGATCGCAAAGCACCCACCTGGTGTCCGCTGCTTTCTGGAGTTTCCCATGAGGCCCCTCTACAGAAGGACTGTTTCTGTCCATTGTGTTTCTATAACAGTTTTAATTACATTGATTATTTAAATTCATGTTTGTGTTCTTTATACTCTGAGCTCTTTTAGGCTAGGAATTGCCACAATCTTAGTTTGTTTTTTTTTCTTAACCACCTGTCACAGTCTTCTCTGTCTCTCTTCCCCACTCTTCCCACTCCCCATTTTCTCTTTCTCTTTTTCTTTCCTTCAAAAAATATTCACAGAGAAACAGCCATGTGCCTCCTCGCTTCAAGAACTGAGGGTTTATTAAATGGGTGGAAAGAAATACGAAATCGTGGCCAGGAAGATATTACTACCTGCATTATTAGACTGTTATTTTAGTCTTTCTAAGCATGAAGCTAACAGGCCTGTTTGCCATAGGAACAGCCTGTCCGTGTTGCAGACTTGTGGGATGCCTGGATGGACGTATTGAGGGAAGACACAAATGATAGTCATTTTGGTTTTATGTAATTTGGCCTCCAATCATGTTGCATACTGAAACCCGCTCTTGGCTTTGCTCTGTCAGCAGAGACTGGACTTCTCTGACAGCGCAGATCCCAGCCGTGCAAGTAACCACGTGCTGACCACATGCGTCTGTGCCTTTACAAAGTAACAGCTAATTTGGGCCAGATAGAGGAGAGTGATTGTATTCTTGTTTGCCATTGGAGTGCGCATCTGGTAAAAATAGGTGCGTAGAGTGGTATTTAGATGAAATGTAGTAATTTAAAAATATCTTTCAGCCCCTGGCTGGCATAGCTCAGTGGATTGAGCGCGGGCTGCGAACCAAAGTGTCGCAGGTTCGATTCCCAGTCAGGGCACATGCCTGGGTTACAGGCCATGACGCCCAGCAACTGCACATTGATGTTTCTCTCTCTCTCTATCTCCCTCCCTCCTCTCTCTAAAAGTAAATAAATAAAACCTTTAAAAATATCTTTCTGAAGAATGATAAAGGTAGATAGTGCTTATAGAGCAAGTACCCTGAATAATTCTGGTACAATAATGACTGAATAATTCTATGAGCTGAATGGTGGTACTCTCATTGATGAAGAAACAAAGGCTCAGAGAAGTCAAGTGATTTGTCTGAGGACACACAGCTACCTAGGCAGCAAAACAAAGATTCAAGTCTAGGTCTGAGGCCATATGCATTGCACTGTGTTGTCATCTCTCCTTAAATCTTCATTCTTAGACTCATGTCCAAGTTGGAGAGAATGAATTTACTGTGGCACTTTGAATTGGAGATACCAAATTACTGAATTACTTGATCTTTGGCTAGTTATTTAACCTTTCTCATCCCATTTCTCACATGCATAATACTGCCTGCCTTCCAGGGTTATAATGTCGAATAAATGAGATGATGTGTGTGAATATACATTGTGCACCGTAAAAGCCTTGTGCTAATTAATGTTTGGTAATGTATTATTAGTGCTGTCATTATTATACACCCGAACATACTAATTCTGCTTTCTGAATATTTCTGTGCTGTTGTCCTTTTTTAATTAAGCTGCACAGCAATTTTTCAAGTACCTTAGTGACTGCTTTTCATTAATAAGAAGTTATTTTTTTAAAGATTTTATTTATTTTTAGAGAGGGAAGGGGGAGAGAGAGAGAGAGAGAGAGAGAGAGAGATCAATGTGCGGTTGCTGGGGGCCGTGGCCTGCAACCCAGGCATGTATCCTGACTGGGAATCGAACCTGTGACACTTTGGTTCGCAGCCCGTGCTCAATCCACTGAGCTACACCAGCCAGGGCTCAGAAGTTATTTCTTTAGGTGTCGAAAGTCCAGACAGTCAAAATAAAAAGACATTAGAGCAATACAATTATAACTGTATGAAGAAGTATCCTTAACTGTTGAAAATTTTCCTTTCTGTGTCCTATTTCCTTGAACACCACGAATTTTCACTGTTTTTCCTTTGAATTATATTCAAAGTTGAAGCTTTTTTAAAATAATAGAAAATGGAAGATTTTTTAAAAAGGTTTTATTTATTTATTTTGTTAGAGAGAGGAAGGGAGGGAGGAAGAGAGGGAGAGAAACATCAATGTGTGGTTGCCCCCAGCTGGGGACCTGGCCCTCAACCCAGACATGTGCCCTCACTGGGAATTTAACTGGCAAACCCTTTGGTTTGCAGGCTGGCCCTTGAACCACTGAGCCACAGCAGCCAGGGCTCCAAGTTGAAACTTTATGACTTATTTCTAGTAGTTGATGTTTAATGGCCGTATACAGTACATGTGAGTAGACCTTCTTTTCGAAACCAAGCAATACCCACAAAGTATGCACCACTGGGAACTCTAGTCTTTTGTGAATGCAGCTGGAGCTGGTGTTTATAATGTTTTTAACCTGAGATTGACTATGTCAGTTGCTTCCATGTGCATTATTTCTTTTCACATAAAGAAGATAACTGTTCCATTTTCTTGAAATCCTTGATTCGTAGTGCATAGTTTAATTCCTTGCCAAAAGAATGGTGCTGTTTCTCTTCTGCTAGGCAAAAATTCAAGAGGATCAGGGTGTTTTCATCGCAGTGAAAAAGTCAGTGGTAGAGCTATAGAATTGTACTAAGCTTTCAAAACATGCTTTGTTAGTGTGACTGACAGGAAAAATTTATTCTCTATTGGAGTGGTAGAATTTAGGATAAGAAATTACGGAAAAGTCTAAATTACAACATATAAAGTATTAAGTAGTTGATGTAGCTGAACACCTGGTTTTTTAAAAAGATTTTATTTCTGTATTTTTAGAGAGAGGGGAAGGGAGGGAGAAAGAGAGGGAAAGAAACATCCATGTGTGGTTGCCTTGTACGCTGCCTACTGGGGACCCGGCCTGCAACCTGGGCCAAGGATTCCAACCAGTGACCCTTTGGCTTGCAGGCCGGCACTCAGTCCACTGAGCCACAGCAGCTGGATAAACACTTGACTTTGTAAAATTCTAAAATCATTCTCTTTAGTAATATTTGATTTTTTTTTTGTAGTGAGACTAGTAATATATATTCCCATTTATGCTAACCAATTTTATGGTGTGGCTTAATTTGATTCCAGGACAGTAATGTTCTTTTCAAACTTGTATTACCCAGAAAGTGTATCTTGTAAATGGACTCTTTTTAAATAGCTAAGCCATTGCTTAAATGAGTGTATGCCGTTCCCTGTCACAGGCACTGTGGCTTTGGAGTTAGATTTGGGTTTAAATTGCAACTCTAGAACTTTTTTTAAAGATTACATTTATTTATTTTTTGAGAGAGGGGAAGGGAGGGAGAAAGAGAGGGAGAGAAACATCACTGTGTGGTTGCCTCTCACGCACCCCCAACTGGAGACCTGGCCCACAACCCAGGCATGTGCTCTGACTGGGAATCGAACCAGTGACCCTTTGATTTGCAGGCCAGTGCTCGGTGCCCTGAGCTACATCAGCCAGGACTCAACTCGAGAAGTTTTTAATTTTCTTTGGGTGATGGGTAACAAGTTAACATTTCTACCCTCGTTTCTTCTTAATCTTTAAAATGTGTATTCACATGCTCGCAGTGCCGGCAGATGAGCTAGTGTGTGGACACAGTTCCTAATGACAAAGTGCTGTATGAACAATATTTTGACAGTTCCTCATTTATAGTAATTTGCTGATCAAAAACATTGAAGTACTTGGTTTTAAGAATATCTCTTCAACATAATAAAATTTTCAGCATTAGTAGTTTAAGAAGCATCCAATGGCATAATAATATACACATTATAGTTTAGAATATAAAGATGAGCTTATTTTGTTAAACTCTTCTTTACAGCAAATGGCATGAATTGAACATTTTGCGTTACATATATATATTTTCTACATTCTAAATGATATAGGTGTGTATTTTTATAGGTTTGCCTGAATCCGTCATTGCGGCTGCATGTTCAAGAAATGGCCAGAGGGTTCTGCATGTTGATTCGTAAGTTTATCAATGATAGCATTTAATACTTCCTAAATATCTCTGTACAAAATGAAAAAATGAAATACACCTGTGTGCACATATATGTATATATGTCATATATAAACCTTTTTGGATTTAGAGAGGGGGAGGGAGGGAGAAAGAGTAGGAGAGAAACATCAGTGTGTGGTTGCCCCTTGCACGCTCCCCACTGGGGATCTGGCCCACAACCCAGGCATGTGCACTGACTGGGAATTGAACCACCAACCTTTGGTTCACAGACCTGCACTCAACCACTGAGCCACACCAGCCAGGGCACATAAAAGCTTTTTAAGTTAGAAAATAATTAGAATTAATTTTTACTAAAAATATGTGAAATATATAATATACAAGTTTCACTATTCTAGTCTGTGAAATAGTGACATTTCCTTTAGAATAAAATAAATCATCATAATTTTATATGTCATGACTGATTTTGTTTTTTAAATGATAAATAGTTCAGCCAGAGGCTTAGAAATCTCCCACCTGCCCTTTTTCTTAAACACATGTGTGGGCGTATGCAACCTGTACATGCATCTGTGCCTTAGACTTGGTTGGAAAATGCAGCCAATAAATTTAGGGTATATGGTTTGCTTAATGTTAATCAAAATGTTAACTATTAGACGAAATCTTAACTGAGAAAAATATCTAGAGCTTTTTTTCCCTTAAATGTGATTCTGTGCCAAATTCAAGTTTAAGATAAAGCATAGTTGAAATCTCCTAGTTCCTGCTTCCTCCTGAAACAAATCTCTACCTTTCCACCTATTAACTGCTTTTGAACATTCTGTCTTGACACTTTAATTGTTCGCTAAATAGTACAAAAGAAACGAGAAGAAAAGAACTTTCCATTTTCTGTTACATATTAACTGTGATGTTTTTCGTAATGTCAGAACACCAAGGATAACTAGATTTGCTGCTGTTATAATGCTTTCTCTTATATTCACCCCACTGCAAATATGTAGGGATTCAAAAAGGGGTATTAGTTCATTTACATTTAACCCCTTCTAAATTTATTTTGAAAGCCTGTTAACTCCTCAGTTATTGGATGAAATTTCTAAAATAATTTAGGTTCATTTTTTCAGACAAGTCCTGCCCTGAGAATTCTCTTTCACTATTACATGCGTAACTGCTAGCATTAATGTCTCAGTTTTGTCCTTTTTGACATGTCACGGATTCACATGCCAAAAAGTCTGTGACTTTTAAAGCCCAGGTACTGGGCCTGTGTGCTTTAAAAGGCTTAATAAAAAACTAAATTCAGTTTTCCCCTTAATTTTAATGAATTAACCTAAAATTGCAAATAAAATGTTAAATTTCCCTAAATTGTCATTCAATTTATACTCTATGTTTATACTCTATGCTACTCACTATATTGGATTCTTTATATGTTATATAATTTAATCCCCATCACAGCCAAGTGATGTAGGTGGTGATATTCCAATTTAACAAATGATGAATGTGAAGCATAGAGAAATGAAGTAATTTTTTCACTCTAAAAAGCTAGTACTTGTTTAACTTTATATTCAAATTTATTTTGTTTTATTTTTATTCTAAAACCTGAGGGCTTCCCAGAATGAAGACTTTTTTTGGAACTCATAGAGGGTTTACTGATAACTCCAAAATCAATTTTTATTAGGAATGTAAGAAGCTAAATCTTATTTTGTTAAACAGTGACTAAATTGGAAGGGCTTGATAATGTGGTTGCCTTAAAAACATGTATCTTATTATTAAAAATAGTATTTCAAAATGAGAAAACTTTTTTTCTTCTGTTTTACATCCTTAGGTTTGGTGGCATTTGAGAGTTTAGATCCATGTAGGTATTTATAGGATGTTTTTCTGCTGTGGGCCAGGTTTAAATATTTTCTAATTTTTTATTCACTTTAGCATTTAAGGCTCTTCACAGCCGGATTCAATCTTCCCCATCTCTGTTTCATAGACATCCTTTCCCATGTTGTTTTAAAAATAATATTTAAATCATGGTAAAAAAAAAAGCAACACATAACATAAAATCTTAGCAATTTTAAGGGTACAGTTCAGTACTGTTAACCATATTCATATTGTGCAACACATTTCCAGAACTCTTGATCTGGCCAGATTGAAACTACACCCATTAGCAATAAGTGCCCATGCCTCCTCCCCTCAGCCCGTGGCAACCCCCATTCTGCTTTCTTTGTGTCTCCATGCATTTGACTACTTTAGATACATCATATAATTGGAATGGTACAATATTTGTCTTTTTGTGACTGCCTTATTTCATTCAGCATAATGTCCTCAAGGTTCATTTAGGTTTTAAAATGGTGTCAGAATCTCCTTCCGTTTTAAGACTGATTAATGTTACATTGTATGAATATACCGTACCCATTCATAAACATTTGGGTTACTCCTACCTCTTGTGAACATGGATAAGCAAATATACCTTTGAGATCCTGTGGACTGAGTTCCTTTGGATGTATACCCTGAATTGAAATTGTTAGATCACATGGTAATTCTATCTTTTATATATTTTTTATCCTTTATATTTGAAGACCTACCAGACTATTTTCCACAGAGCAGCTGTACCATTTTACATTCTCACCAAGTTCCCAGAGTGCCCGGGTTCAATTCCTGCTGTCGGCCCTTACTAGGTGTATAGTCTTTGAGAACTTACTTAATCTCTTCATTCCTCTGTTTCTTGATATAAGTGGCATAAAAGAGCACTTAATTAATAAGATTCTTTATAGGGTTAAATAAAATAATATGTGTGATAGTTTTATAACAGTGCCAGAAACATAAACTCTCAGGAAATGTTAACATCTGTTACTCTGACGATACTGCCGCTGCTGCGGCTCCTACTAGATGGAAGCAGCTGAAGCCGGAGAAGGGGGTGACTAATCATGCCTGGGAGATTGGTGAAGAGTGTCATAGAGATGACATTTGAGCTGAGTCTGGAAAGATAAGCAAGACTTTAATGAGGAAGGAGAGCGTTCTGGAAAGAGGGAACAGATTGAAAGGTGAGAGTGTTTGTGTGACTGAGGGGTTAGCTAAGTGAGTTGGATTAATGAGGGTTGAAGCTGGAACTAGACGGCAGCTCTGTTGTTTGGGTCTCTGTGCCGAGGTGTGCATTGTGTTTATTGATTCTACTCTTTTTTAAAGATTCTATTTATTTCTTTTTAGAGAGGGAAGGGAGGGAGAAAGAGAGAGAGAGAAACATCATTGTGCGGTTGCTGGGGGTCATAGCCTGCAACCCAGGCATGTGCCCTGACTGGGAATCGAACCTGCGACACTTTGGTTCTCAGCGCGCGCTCAATCCACTGAGCTACGCCAGCCAAAGCTTTGATTTTACTCTTAATACTTATCTTAATATCTTCATATCTTTCCCTCAAACCCATATTCAATCCTTCCGCATATCTTGTCAGCTCGACTTTTAAAACATAGCCCAAGTCTAAGGAGTGTTCTGTCTCCACTGTTCCTTCCAGTTCATTTTACTATTATTTACTATTGAACTTCTCTGAGAACCTCCTGATTGCTCTGTTCTCGCTACTTGCCCCAGCATCCGGCCTCTTCTTCCCTTGTCACCGTGTCGTGTGCGCCTCCCCCCGTGCTCGCTGTGCCCTGCTGTTGCTGCAGTTATGCATTCTTTGTAAAAATTCCTAATATTATTTGCGTTATCTGTGCCTTTTTTCTATTTCTTTTTTCCAGCTCTCTCTTGCCAGAGGTTTTGGCTATATTATTTGTCTTTTTCCTTCTGTGGTCTCTTTGTTTTCTATCTATTTAACATCTATTTTAGCAATCATTCTTGTTATTTTTCTGACTTCTTGAATCAGATTCATAACTTTTTATACTTAAGAGATTTTTTAATATAATTATTTTACAATTGTAATTGCCTCTTAGGATCACATTAACTGTCTTCCATGGATTTTAAGTATCTCCTAATAGCCATTGTCATTTCACCTTTGATCCACTGGTTATTTAGAAGTATGTTTTGAAATTTCCACATACATTTTGATTTCACTATCTTACTGAATTTATAATGACAACCCCTTGTGGGAAAATAGGTAAATAAGAAAGGAAAAAAGTTCTAGTCTGTCTCTTCTGCCTGCCTGCACCCTGCCCTTTCTTTCTACCACTAGAGAGGAGAGGGGGAGAGGGAAAGAGAAAGAAACATCAGTCAGTCGCTTGCTTGTATGCGCCCAAACTAGGGATCGAACCCACAACCTATGTATATGCCCTGACTGGGAATCGAACCTGTAACCTTTTAGTTACACGATGACACTCCAACCAACTGAGCCACACCAGCCAGGCCACTCATATTACCTTTTATGTGTCCTACAATATCTGTCCAGGTAAAGAAGTTGCACAAAAATATGTAAGTTTTTATTAAGTATGTATTAAAGTCAGTGTAGAAAAAGTTATAAGATACTGAGCAATTCCAACACTTAAGAATTCCTCTAGTTGCCTTTTTATTTCATACTTCTGTCCTCTGTGTCCCCTATTTCTAACTCCAGCTACCAATAATTTGGTTTTTTCAGTTCGATAATTTTGTTATTTTGAGAATGGAACTGTATAGTATGCAACTTTTCGCTGTTGGTCTCTTTTACCCACCACAGTTACCTTTTTGTTCCTTTTTGTTGCTGAGTAGTATTGTATATCATGTATCTTTGTTTAACCACTCACCTGTGGAGGGGCATTTGGGCTGATTCCAGTTTTTCGCTATTACAAATAAGATTGCTGTGTGGACATTCATCTTTGGGTTTTCCTGTGTGTCATCGTAAGTTTTTATTTTGCTGGGATAAATGCTCAGGAGTGCAGTTGCTGGATCATACAGTAATGGCATATTTAGTTTTTCAGGAAGTTGCAAACTCTTTTCTAGAATGCGGATAGCATTTTACATTCTGACTAGCAGTGCACCAGTGATCCGTTTCTCTTCATCTTTGCCAGCATTTGGGGGGATTCTGACTGGTGTGCAGTGATACCTCATTGTGATTTTATTTCATACTTCCCTAAAG